CGTAAAGTCGCTGGATTGATTCTTGGCGTTTGCACAGTGCAGAAAAAGTGAGGGTGCGGCAGCTCGAAAAAGCCTATTGCACGGTGCGAAAAGCAAGAAATCGCACAGTGCAAAGTGAAATTTTGTTTTCGCACAGTGCATGTCGCCGAAATCGCTCCGGCGACTTCGTGAATCGCTCTCAGTCTGTCGGGAAAATAACGAGCGTCATGGCGCATCTAAAATGGCTTCGCAAAATGAATTGTGTCGCTGAAAAATGAATTGCTCTGTAATTGAGGTACAGAAGCAAAAAAAAATGCAGATACAGCGAAACCTCTGTAGAACAAGTCGCAAAGTACCGTACAATTTTTTCATTGCTTTTTGCACCATGCAATTTGCTTTTTCTTGGGCCGTCACACAAACCATGAGTCGCCTCTCACATCGCAGAAATCACTCGAGCGGCTTCATGAACTAACTAACAGGGGAAGCACCCTAAGTGCGACGCTCAGATTTTGACGAAACTTGGCACAAATTTAGAATAATTTTTTCCAAAATATATGCGAAAATCGTAGCTCGCGCTTTGCAGAAACAACCGAGATTTTTAGATCGAAAGTCGGCGGAAATTTAGGACTTTTTGCCGAATTTCGGCACGAAAAGTGTCATGCCTATTCCAACCGTAAAGGATAATGTTTCTACAAAAAATCAAAATTTTCCGCACGAAACTGCCAAAGTTGTGGCCAAAAAGCGTTTTTCTCTTTGACCACTCTCCGCTTTTAGCGTACTCTCTCGGCGGCAAAGATGCTTCAATATCTCGGTGGCGCTTGCAAAGCGCGAGCTAAAACTTTCAGGAATTGATATTTAGTTTATGGCCGACGTGTGTGCAAAATTTAAAGAAAATCCGAGCGTCGCACTTGGGGTACTTCCCTTGCAAATAATATTATTATTTAGGATTTGTTTCAATTATGCACAAACAGATGGGATAGCCTACAGAATAAAAAGCTTCCGCTGCCAACGGATTAGCTCAAGAAAGTCCTTGGAATTTTAGCGAAACGCTTTCACATCCTAGATCTCATTTATTGTATCAGTCCGTCGAGAAAATGATGAGAACAATTTCGCAGGGCCATTTGCGTCGCTGGAACAAAGCAATTTATTCTGGAATTTTTACACAATTCACCGCGGCTATGCGATTTTCGATGCGACAGCGTGCTCATTATTTTCCCGACAGACTAGCAGCATTTTCCCTCAAAATACCAATGAAACTTTCGAAGCACTTTTTTCACAACATCCCCATTTTCCAATTCCCCCTCAACCAAGAGAGATAATCCCCTCTCCGTTGTTTCTCCCCGCCACTATCTGATATGCCAAGGCTCCCGTCGCAGTGACGTAGCAGAATGGAAATTAAAAGATAAAGAGGAAACAATTACATTCCACAAAAAAATGAGAGAAATAAGAGGGAAAAAATTGTATATCGGATTAGATTGTGGAGTTTGGATGGGGAGATGTATTGTATATGTATACTTACATATCAAAAAAGGTTTTGAGGACATAACCAAAAATTGTCAAGAGGAATTACTATCATTCTGTCGGGAAAATAATGTGGATTTGTCGCAGTAAAATTTGTCGCCTTGTCATCGTCGCACACCAAATCTCCAACCGCGGCTAGCCGTCGCGAAGCTTCGCGAAGGAATGATGGGCGATCCCAAGTCGCGACGAATCCACATTATTTTCCCGACGGACCCTAAATCTCGATTGCACAGGTCTTATCAGCCTGTCGAGAAAATAACGAACGCAATGTCGCTACGCTGTCAAAATGCACGTTATTTTCTCTACAAACTGATATAAAGGATCTTCAAACTTTCTCTTGTCCTAAAATTAGGTGATCAATCACGCGAAATTGAAAGGGAGAAATTTGTGAGAAAAATTGCTTGACGCGAAAAGGAAGGTTTGGGCTTGGCTTGGGACATTTTTAGTTGATACTCGCAAAGCGATGATGGGCGATTGCAAGGCGCGGCAAATCCAGGTCATTTTCCCGGTAGACTGATAGACAGGAAATGTGAAAAGTTTTGAACATTCAGCCTGAAAAGCATGAGCCTAAAAGCTTAAAAGAAGTCTTAAAACAAGGTCTGCATTTACAGTGAGGGACCGGATCCAATGGCAAAAAACGTCTCATTTTGCATCCAGGAAGGGACCGAAATGTCTCCAAACCCTTCCCTTCCGTAAGCTAAAAACCCCCGCTTTGAAGAGCCCGCCTTGAAGGAAAGGGCGCGCTTTTCAAAGCGGAGTTTTTTAGCTTAGAGAAGGGAAGGGCTTGGAGTCATTTTGGTCCCTTCCGCGATGCAAACTGAGACGTTTTTTGCCATTGGATCAGGTCCCTCACTGTAGCCAAAATTTGAGCGTCACAACGTACGCACTTAACTTGTCCGTAACAAAAATATACACCGTTGTAAACCGAAAATCTTACAATTAGGAAGAACCTGTGTAATACAGACAAACTTTCGTACAAAAAACCCCTTTTGCGAAAATGTTTTTCGCTTATGTTAGAAACAAAAACCATTTTTCATAGAAAATTTATTTTTAGAAAACATGATTTTTCCGTAAAAAAACAATTTTTTTTATAAAATTCAAAACACCATCTCGTGTTTTAGTCGATATCGATAATTCTAATTTATTTCCAAACCCGTTCAGACCACAACTCCCAACGGAATGGTTCTCGATTCTTCCACACTGAAATTGGAAAAATAGGAGGAACAGTCGTGACTACGTGTTGAGAAATCAAAACGTCATTCATATTCGTTTTGTTTCTCAACATGATTTTGTGTGTTTGATGAATAAGCATTTTTTATTTTGGGCAAACGGAATGAAAGAGTGAGACGAGAGAAAGATTGAGAGGGGTTTTGTGATAGAGCGGAAATTTATATCTAGCTCGAGATTTATGTGTTTTGAAACTTGCCTTCGTCGCAGCAATATTTTGTGCAAAAACCAAAGAAAAAGCAAAATGAACGGTGCAAAATGGAGGTTTTTTGTGCGCTGTGTGGAATGCGACAAATGCCCATGCACTTTATGAAAATTCTGATGTCAGTCAGTCGGGAAAGTAATGAGCACTCTGTCGCATCGGAAATCGCATCTCCGAAAGCGAATTGCGTCGCGGTAAAATCAAATTGTTTTTCACTTCAACCACGCGAGACGCAGCGACATTGTGCTCGTGATTTTCCCGACAGAATGATAGTTACGGCCTTTTTTGGAGTCCACACAATAAGAAGAGATTCTCAGTTCTATGGGGACATATTATACGATGAAACATTTCCAAAACTCGTTTATAAATGTTTCATCGTATAACATGTCGACTTTTTGGGGACACTTTGTATTATGGTCCTTAATACGTCCAGAAAATGTGTCACGATGAAAACCGCTTAATATGCCTCAGTGGTGAAAACAACGGCTGTTTATGGCTAGGAGTACTCCTTAAAGTACCCACAACAAAATTCACGTGCAAGATTCTTGCTGTATGCAATTTTGGATGACGGATTTTTTGGATTTTTCCTGCCACAAAAACGCTTGAAATTCCAAAATCATTTGTCGTGCTCTTCGGAGTACTCCTAGCCATATACAGGCGTTTTTTATACTACCAGCGCATTTTAAACCAGTGTCATTGTGGCACATTTTCTGGACACACAAATAAAATTTTTCATAAGACGCATAGCTCACGGTTTGCAGAAAAGACCGTCATTTTTAGGTCAAAAGTTTTAAAAAAAAATTGTTTTTTTTTGCATAGAAGTACATATTATTCGTAAAATCTGAGCGTCACATTTACAAGAGTATTTGTTAGAGTAATTCCATTCTAAATCATAACTTTATTGGGAAAATTTATTTGTTTGATGGCTCGTGATCTTTCTTTCTTGCGAACGACATGCTTCCTGCATAATCCAAAATAAAACAATGATCATACAACACAGGAGTTCCAAAAATAAACGAAGTCGAAGCCCCTGCGGGCGTCAGAAACACATTCAGAACACAGCCCTCATCCAAAAGCGCTTGGTCGCACAAATCAGAAAATTTGATCGAAATCTGTTGGTCTTCAGCTGCTGAAATTGACATTGTTTGGCCGCTGGCGTCGGGAAGGTAAAAGCGGTCGGTATTTGGAAGTGATTTAGCTCCCGTGCAATCAATAATGAAGCCGAAAACGTCGACCGGAACAAAGAAGAAGTCAGTGTTCAAATCGACAGTTGCCTGAAAGGAGAATGTTTATGTTGGTTCTGTACATCAGTCTGTCGGGAAAATAATGAGCACTCTGTCGCATCGAAAATCGCACGCCGAGATGAATTGTGTCGCGGCAAAATTAACTTGCTTTTCGCATTAGAGTAACAGGCGAAGAGGACAAAAACGCAATGGCGTGATCCAAGCAAGCGAAGAGCACTCAAATTTGCAAAAGGAATCCGGCCGCGATCGGCCACAAGACGCCTTATCAGGGATTCAATCTCGGCCAGAGGGCTCAATCTCGGCCAAAAAGGTGGGGGAAAAGAAACCTGGCCGGATCGGAAGCCGGAAAGGGGGCGTAATAATGGGAAACTAGGCCAATGCAAAAGGTCTGGAAAACGGGCATTCCGGGTTCGGACAGGCGCAAATCTCTTTGCGTCTTCCAATTGTAGAGCCACTGATCCAGTGCCAGCCGCCTCGCCCAGCCAGCCCACAAAAGGAGCCAATCCGGGTAAGTCGATTTAGAAAGTTTTAATTTGAAAAACCTCAGGGTCACAGGCTGCTTCGCATTTTATATATAATTGTAAAAACCTGAGGGAGGCAACTAAAACCGAGGAAGTCCAAGCTGACCCAAAAGGGTCTGAGTGGACGCTCTAGGGGATCAGCGGCCCCTGTTTTTGGCGTATTCTACATGGGTATTTTATTAGATTGCAAGCTATCCTTGGGCTACGGCTTCAATATTCTGAAGCGAGATCCACCGGCAGTCTAGTCAAGCAGCCCACGAGGTAAGGCAGTGGTAGGGCGTCGCGCTCCCACTTATTCATCTAACTATGTTAAAATGTTTCCTGGATATCCAACCCACCTCTTGTTCGGCGTCACTTCATTGTAATAATCCGCGTTATTTCTCGTATCCTAAGGCTTATCCCGATAATGAAGGATATTACAACGTGTCCGTAAGGCATCCAGTCGATCACCAGATCTGGGCCTGCCGGGGCCTACGTAAGTTCGGAACCACAGCCGAGAAGGTATGTAACCACGGATGGTTTCTTGTGATCGCATGGCGCAATCTTGTCGTTGTATTGAGTTTTTCTGGTTTCAGATGGCTCTCGGACGTGAGAAGAACCCTATCATCCTTGACGATGATGATGAAAGCGAGCTGGAATCGCCGCCATCCACCAAATCACCCAAGGTCCCTCCTGAGGAGTGCTCTGCCATACACATACGTTGGCGAAGGATGGCCCTGATCCAGATGGAAAGACTTGTGAAATTCCCGGGGGAAAAGGTGAGATGCAAATGCGTAAAAATGTTAATGGAGGGACGTAAGTGAGACGTTATTATTTGAGCTGTCTTCTGTCCTCTTGATAATTCCGTAGCTTTCAGTGGGAGTTGTAATATATAAACACCAATTTTACACCGCGTTGGGCGCCTTATATTACCGGCGCAGAGGTTAGAGTTGATCATCAACTCTGTCATCATTCTTCCAAGCTTCCCCAAGGCGTTGACTTGTTGAAAAAGGGTAAAGGAGTTAGATCGGAGGTTTTCCGATCTAGTGAACTCAACGAATACGGACTTCGTGCTAGTTCAGGATGATTATCCTGGCCCTTGATGACTCACTCAGTCATATGTTCTTTTTCCGCCAACATATTTACGCATAGGGCGACCTTTGGCTTATGACGCACTTCTGTTGTAAAGTATGATTCGTAAGAAGGTTCTAGTCCCTTAGGACAAGACTTGGACATCCAGATTTACCTTGCTTAAGATGCTGTCCTTGAGATATCCTCTGTCCAGGATATCTTTTTTGACCAAACCAGGAATCGCCTTTGATCGATGGCATTAATCTTGAGATATTGTTATTGTCACAGTATACTATTGTCGTTGTGTGTTATTCCGAGCTCATAAAGGTACAGAATATATTCTACGTGGGTACTTTATCAGACTGTAAGCTATCCGTGCGCTACGTTGCGGCTTCAGTATTCTGAAGCAAGATCCACCGACAATCTAGTCATTATTTCGCCGACAGACTGAAAATCCCGATTGCACATGTTTTGTAAGTCTGTCGGGAATATAGTGAGCGCAACGTCGCTGTGCCGATCGCGCAGTTCATTTTCTCACTATTTTCCCGACAGGCTGATGACAAAGGCCCCAATTATGTAGACAAACTTATTTTTTTGGTAGTTCTTACAGTATAAATCGTTCCAGAATCCGGAAATTGTCGGCCATTCACACGAAATTCCGGAATTCGAAAGATCCATCCCATATTCCGAAAAACTGGCCAGATCACCTCCGGGACCTCACATTTCTCATCTATATCTCCGACTGTGACGACGCCATCCACCAAATTAATTGGGCTCGGTTTTAAAACGAAAAATGTTAAGATTTTCTTCGCGAACCCTCCTTGGGCCAGTAAAGCCATCATTGGCGATGGAAGATTTTTGCTATGGATAAGGTTTAAGCCAAGCACTCCGTCGAAATCGACGTCCCAGTAACAATCCGGCATGGCTTGCGCCAACGCAAATGAGACGGCTTTTGCGAACGGGCCAGGCTTGTAGTGAGGGAACGGTTTGAATTGATCGACGCCCATTTCGGCTGCGACAGTTGCACATTGAAATGGAACGGAAATTTGTTCATCATTGGGAGCTGAAAGGACAAGTTATGAACGTTTTTTTTTGGTCAGAGAAGGGATCTTTTGTCCGAGTGGGTGCATTCTATGCATCTTTTTATCAGACTGTCGGGAAAATAGTGTGGATTTGTCGCAGCAAAATGTCTAGCCTCCTTGCAATCGCACACAAAATCTGGACTTTTCAAGGGGCAAATGTCCGCCGTCTCTGCAGAACAGCGGCTTGTATTGGCCACAGCATCGTAAAAGGTAGCTACTCAAAGATGGATCGGAAAGAAATATCTAAGCTTTCACATGTCCCAAGTTAATTTCCCAAGTCCCAATTTCCAACTAATCAACACCTCGTTGATTACAATTTCACTTATTTGTCTGGAGAACTGGATTCGTCGCGCCTTTCGCCCATTATTGCTGTGCGATGGCTAGGCAGCGCTGGAAACTTTGCGCGTCACTGCGATGAGGCCACATTATTTTCTCGACAGTACCACAATCCGCAAGCGTCTCTACTCGGTCGGCACCCCCGCAGGTCCTCCTCGAATCTCACCATGGAAGTCCAGAACTGCTCCGTACCCAACTCCTCTCTGCGACATCCGCGTCGCTCTCCCGCCAAGTTGACTCGAAAATTTTCAGATGTGGAACCAACCTTCTCCGAGCCAATCCCAGCAACCCGGCCCCTCGACTTCATGGAGAAACCAGCCGAAAGGAAGTGGGGCATGTTGGCCCTAGACCCAAATTTGCATAAGTTTGCTCATTCCCTATAAAAGCCACGGCTATGGTCATTTTATAGTCACTTTTTTCCTGCTGTGGTGCGAATAAATACACTCCATTTCAAAATAATAGACACGCCTATAAAATTTGCAATTGCGGCGTCGACGTGCAGTTGACGGATACGAAACCTTTACAGATTGAAAGAGGAGGTTCGAAAACCTATACCAAAAAATAATCTTTTTTATTGCACTGCAATTGCACTTTGCACAAAAGATTTTCCAAATTTTGGGTGTTTCAAAAAGATAGACACGGTTGCTATTTTTGCTAAAAACTTGCGAGTATGGGCCCCATAGGGCCTGAAATTATTAGTACGACTGTATTGCAACTGTCTGGACTTTATTGAGTTCAAAACGCCCGAATTTTTGTGCAATTTTCCCGGAATTGCACACATACTTCCGTTTTGTGCAATCTGGCCTGCATCTTTCAGAAGTCCACTTTCTATGGGCACAGACAGTGCAGATGCGGCCTATCGTGCGGGTAGGCAACAAATTAATGCGTGGAAATTGCAACGAAAACTGATTCGGCTGCTACATGGTCAGCTTTGAAGGCTGCCCTACGTTTCGAAACAAGCTAGATGCGAAGAAAAACTTCATGAGTGCAATGTTTAGGTTCTCGTAAAAACGTTTAGGTCTGTAGCATATGCAGCTCTGCTTTAGCGGGTCCGCAGTGCACAAAACTTTGCGAAACTATGCGAAATAGGCTTAAAAATGGGTCAAAAAGGGTTTTTTGGAAACTTCACCTTTTCTGGCGTTGGCCCGACGGAGCCTGGACACAAGGCTTACTTAATAACGTTTGTTTGCTGATCGCCAAGATAGTTCGGAGCTTTTTGGGTTGTGAAAACCACAGGCACCCGCTTGAGGAGCTTTAAAAGTGACGACTATCGTTGCGAAATCAGTTTTCGTTGCAATTTCCACGCATTTATTTGTTGCATACCAGTGAAAACTGACTGGATCTAGTCCATAACACATGATAGGTCGCATCTGCACTGTCTATGCCCATAGAAAGTGGACTTCTGAAAGATGCAGGCCAGATTGCACAAAACGGAAGTATGTGTGCAATTCCGGGAAAATTGCACAAAAATTCGGGCGTTTTGAACTCAATAAAGTCCAGACAGTTGCAATACAGTCGTACTAATAATTTCAGGCCCTATGGGGCCCATACTCGCAAGTTTTTAGCAAAAATAGCAACCGTGTCTATCTTTTTGAAACACCCAAAATTTGGAAAATCTTTTGTGCAAAGTGCAATTGCAGTGCAATAAAAAAGATTATTTTTTGGTATAGGTTTTCGAACCTCCTCTTTCAATCTGTAAAGGTTTCGTATCCGTCAACTGCACGTCGACGCCGCAATTGCAGATTTTATAGGCGTGTCTATCATTTTGAAATGGAGTGTACCTTTCTCGTTGGTCTTTTTGTCTTCTCCGACCGGTCGGTCCCACTTCAAATCCCCTTCTAACCCGGTCAGCAAGTTTAACTGCAACTTACACTCGTGAAATGTCCTTGAATCCTTTCTGATAAACGTGTTTCTATTATTACAGGCGCCATTGCAACAGCTTATGAGATCTTCAGCTGCAAGTAAGTTGGAATATTCAATTGTCACTGTTTCACTTACGATAAACACTTCTTTCCTTGCACTCTGGCACAAACAACGCCGATGAAACCAAGTTAAACTCGACATTAAAATTTTGATTCCCAACTGATATTACGCCAACGTAGGCTACAGTTTTTTGAGCTTTATTTTCGGTTCTGGTCAATAGAGTTTTAGAGGCTAGAGTTTGTGAATTACACAGTAGTAAAGGCAATAATAATGCGTAATGTTGACAAGCCCGCATAGCTTAGTTATTACAATAGTCATTCCATTGTCTTGGGTGTGCATAGGAACTTTGATTATCTGTCAAAACAAACGTTCAGCGCGTTGAGCAATCTAAGGCAGCTTTGCGGCTGATAGCGAAGGAAATCAAAGGTGCGCCGGCTCAAAGTATTCAATGCCAAGCGGATTTCAAAGGTTAAAAATGCTCTTATCTTCCTTTTGAAATACTAAAAAAATAAATTTTAAAATAATATTATACATAACCTATTGTCAGATGTGGATGGATTTTTTAAAAAGAAAATGGAGATAGCCACGGCTTCGGAGCCGGCTCCGGCTCCTGAGCCCAAAGTCGAAGCCAGGCTTCTCAGCGTTGTGAAAAGTAAAGATTTCGTCCAATTGCTTGAAAAAATTTGGGACGGGTGTGTTGCGTACTTACGACTTGGCTCAAAAACGTTGGGTCATCTCTGGCACTAATAACTTTTATTTTTGGAAAATACTTTTTAAGAAAAAGTTTGCACGGGAGCCGGTGCCGGAGAGCTCTTTAAATCCGAGCCGGAGCTCTAAATTTCGCCTCGGCTCCGGCTCTGGGAGCCCACAGCCGGAGCCGGAGACAAAGGGCAGGTCCACCAATAAATCTACAACATTTTCTTCTTCGGAAAAGCGATGCTTCCAAAATAATTCAAAGTCATACAATGGTCGTACAAGATTGGAGTGCCAAACACAAAATTTGTCTCGAATTTTGACGATAAGGATACTGCAATGTTCAGCACGCATCCCATATTGAGCTGTTTTTGATCGCACAAGTGTGCAAGTTTAATGGTGAGCTCGTTGAACCCATCAACCACTCGGATGGTCCACTTCTCAGGTTTCGCGAGGAGATATCGGTCTTGGTTGGGGAGCTTTTGTGCAGCGGTAGTTTTGAGAATAAATTCGAAAACTTCGGTTGGGACAAAAAAGTAGTCGGTGTTGAGATCAATAAAAGCCTAAAAGAGTGGATTTTATGTCTTAATGAAATTTGTCACAAAATTAGATTGTTTTTTTTTCTGATCCATAGGCACTTCTTGCCCGCGCTTTGCAGAAACGACGTAGATTTTTGGATCAAAAGTTGGCACGAAAGGGCAGGGTTTTTGTAAGTTTCTGAATGAAAGTTTCATGCCTGTTTCTAATAATGTTTCCAAAAATCAACCACAGGAAACCGGCAAAGATGTAAAGGTGGTCACCGAAGTTCTCGACGGCATTGATTTTTCAAAAATTGATTTTGAAAATGCAGATTTTGGGAAATCACTGCAGGGCGAAAATTAAAGTGTGCACTGATTTTTAAAAATCAAAGTCAACCCATTTTTGCACCGAAATTCGACTCAACAGCAAAAATAAAAGTCGAGAACTTCTGTGAGCACCTTTATATTGCCAAAAGTGTCCTTCTCTTTCGCAAAAAAGAGGCATATTTTGGTCGACTTTCGACCAAAATATGCCTAAAGATCTCGGCTGTTTCAAGAGGCTGGCTAGGAGTTTCGCAAAAAAAATATTCTAGACTTTTGAATGGATTTATCAAAATCTGAGCGTCGCAATTAGAGTGCTTCGCCTATAAACGGAACCCTCAAAGGGTTCAGCCTAATAAATATTAGTCTTTAGTAATCTGATTTACAGGAACTTCACCTTATGGTAAGCCTCTCTTTAACCCCCTTACCAAATATTTCCTTCCCGCCGGGTTGAATGCCACATTATTCAGAAAAAACGAGGGCACTTCGAACGCCCATCCCGACTTGTCAGGGGGGATTTGAAACGTTCTAGGCTCGCAGTGCTCCTCGTCCAAGCCTTCAATGGTGATCTGACCATCTATCAGATTATTCGGACTCGGCTTCATAATGAAGAACGTCAAAATTGGCTTCGCAAAGTTGTTCCGTTTAAAATATTGCACGATTGGCGAGTAAATTGCGTTCTCCTCAACCGGTGCAAGGCCCAGAACCCCGTCGTAGTCCAAATCCATGTAGCAATCGGGCATTGCTTCAGCCAATGCAAATGGAACTCGTTTTGCGGCATCACCGGACCTGTAATGAGGCCCCAGTTTGAAGGTGTCGGCTCCGATGATTGCCGAGACATTCGCACATTGAGAGAAGTTATAGCGCATCGGTCGGTTGAGCTGGGCTAAAAAATGAGTTTTATCTGTCTGTCGGGAAAATAATGAGCGCTGTGTCAAATCTAAAATTGCATTGCCGCCGAGGAACTGAATTGTGTTGCGGAAAAATCAAATTGCTTTTCACTTCAGCGACGTGATCGATGTAGAGACAGTGTGTTCATTATTTTTCCGACACACTGATATTGAAGGCATTGCAAGCCCATATGTGGCTGCTGAGCTGATTTTCCGGCTTTTTATGGCTTGATTAGTCATCTTTTTTCAGTAAGACAAGGTGGGCCGGTCCAAGGCAAACTCAAGGCTTTGAGAAGTCCAGATTTTGGTAAAACTTGGCCCAGATTCAGTTAATTTTTTCCTAAGACATATGGAAGACTCGTAGCTTGCGTTTTGTACATATTATAGAAACAACCAAGATTTTTTGATCGAAACTTGGCAAAATATGGCACTTTTGTGAACCTTTTCATGAAAATTTCATGTTCATTTCTACCGGAGAGCGCAACGTTTCCTCAAGAAATTAATCTTTTTAACGCGAAATCGGCAAAGATACGGCCAGAAATTGTTTTTCCCTCTGATTGCTCTCTGCGTTTTGCGTACGCTCTTGGCCGAGAGATTCATTCGTTATACATGAGCTTTTTCTTTTCTTCAGTGCTTAAATTGTATGCGCATTCTCAACTTACGGTCAAAAAAAGTCCTCGAGCTTGAACGGTCAAAGACATTCTTGTTGTTACAGGCGCCGTTGCAGCAGGCAACCAGATCTTTTGCTGAAAAAATGAAATTCAAATATTACCCTGTCAGGAAAATAATGAACACAATGCCGCATCGAAAATTTGATTGCGTCGCTGAAGCGGAAAGCAATTTGATCTTTCCGCTTCACAATTCATTTTCTCGGCGGCGATGCAGCTTTCGACGCAACATTGTGCTTATTATTTTCCAGACAGGCTGATGACTGATAGTTTCTTCCATATTTTGCATCGACTTACGAGTAATTGTGCCTTTCAAACATTCCGGAACCCACAACACCGAAGACTGTAGATTTATCTCCACATTAAAGTTTTGCTGCCCAACAGATATGACGCCCAGATAAACCGGATCTCCAAGCTTTGTCTCAATCCGTGTCAACGGAATTTTACTGCCGTATGATTGGAATAGAGCAAGGAAAAGGAGAAAAAGTAGAAAGTTACTCATATTGCGACCGGTTATTCTTTTCGAAATAACCGCTTGATAAAACAAAGATGGAAGGGAGGAGTGAGAGAAAGGTGTGCCGTCTGCACCAACGTTCGAACCGCCAGTGACAAGATAAACTTGTCACAACTTGAACGACGAGCACGATGGCGCGAATTGGATCGCTCTCTATGAAGAAATGGAGCCGCGCCATCCACAGTGGTTTGGCCTATATTCCAACTATAAGGTGCATAGCTTACATGTTGGTGGAGCATGAGGAAAATTACTTGTTAAGATAGTCTAATACCAGTATGTCGGGAAAATAATGGCGGGTTGTCGCAGCAAGATGTAAAAAAAAGTTGTCTAGTCGCGCACCGAATCCCCAGCCGTGGCTAGCCTTTGCAAAGTGTCGAAAAGGGCCCGACCCAGCAACGAGACAAGACGAAAGCTCAAGAGTCAAGTGATCCCCTTTCTTAATGCAAAAGAATGAATCTTTTTCTGTTTGTCTGTCATTCCGAAGCCAAACAATTCTCATTTTGAAAAATTCGAGGCAAAAAATCGGTCTCGATTGTTGGGAAAATGGGAATTTTTGAAAAAATTCAAAATCATTTTCAAAGTTTTGGTTTGCGGAGCAGTCAGTCGCTAAAATGTGAGTGCGGAGTGCGGTCGGGTTCGAGTGCAGGTGAGTGGTGCAGAGTTGGGGAACTTTGCATATTTTGGATTGGGTAATTGGTACTGCGATAGGATTTTTTGGAATTTTGTTTTTTAGGGAAAGTGATGAATTTGGGTTAGGGTTTTGATGAAACTCGGAAATTTTAGTGAGAGAAAGTTTTGGTTTGAGGAGCCGTCAGTCGCAAAAATGTGAGTGCGGAATGTGGTCGGGTTTGGAGTGCAAGTGAGTGGTGCAGAGTGGGGTATTATTGCATATTTGGGGTTGAGTACGTGGTACTGTGATAGGAACTTTGTTTTTAGGGGAAAGTGATGGATTTAGGATAGGATTTGACACGACGTTGGGAAACCTTTTCACATGCGAGGGGGCCGCAGGCCCCCGAGCCTTCCAGTCCAGTCTTCACAGCATTCAGTATGAGACGTGGTACCGCATGCGAGGGGCCGCAGGCCCCGAGCCTTTCGAAAATTTCAAAAAAATCAAAAGCTTTTGAGAAAATTCAAAAAGCAATTGTAAAAAGAAGTAAAAGCACCAGAAATAGGGGGGCCCGAAGGGACCCCCTAATTTCTGGTCCCCTTTTTAAATGTAAAAGAACATTTTTCTGTCTGTCTGTCATTCCGAAGCCAATCTATTCTCATTTTGAAAAATTCGAGGCAAAAAATCGGTCTCGATCGTGGGAAAATGGGAATAATTCAAAATCATTTTCAAAGTTTTGGTTTGCGGAGCAGTCAGTCGCAAAAATGTGAATCCGGAGTGCGGTCGGTTTCGAGTGCAGGTGAGTGGTGCAGAGTTGGGTACCTTTGCATATTTTGGATTGTGTAAGTGGTATTGCGATAGGATTTTTTGGAATTTTGTTTTTTAGGGAAAGTGATGAATTTGGGTTAGGGCTTTGATGAAAAGTTGGGAATTTTAGTGAGAGAAAGTTTTGGCTTGAGGAGTAGTCAGTTGCAAAGATGTGAGTGCGGAATGCGGTCGGGTTTGGAGTGCAAGTGAGTGGTGCAGAGTTGGGTAATTTTGCATATTTTGGGTTGAGTACATGGTACTGTGATAGGAATTTTAGGAATTTTGTTTTTTGGGGAAAGTGATGAATTTCGGGTAGGTTTTGACATAAAGTTAGGAGTTTGGAAACCTTTTCACATGCGAGGGGCCGCAGGCCCCGAGCCTTTGGAAAAATTTAAATCAAAAGCTTTAGAGAAAGTTCAAAAGCAAGAGTAAAAGAACAAGTAAAAGTACCAGAAATTGGGGGGCCCGAAGGGACCCCCTAATTTCTGGTCCCCTTTATGAATGCAAAAGAATGAATCTTTTTCTGTCTGTCATTCCGAAGCCAAACAATTCTCATTTTCAAAAATTCGAGGCAAAAAATCGGTCTCAATCGTGGGAAAATGGGAATTTTTGAAAATCATTTTCAAACTTTTGATTTGCGGAGCAGTCAGTCGCAAAAATGTGAATGCGGAGTGCGGTCGGGTTCGAGTGCAGGTGAGTGGTGCAGAGTGGGGTACTTTTGCATATTTTGGATTGGGTAAGTGGTACTGCGATAGGATTTTTTGGAATTTTGTTTTTTAGGGAAAGTGATGAATTTGGGTTAGGGTTTTGATGAAACTCGGAAATTTTAGTGAGAGAAAGTTTTGGTTTGAGGAGCCGTCAGTCGCAAAAATGTGAGTTCGGAATGCGGTCGGGTTTGGAGTGCAAGTGAGTGGTGCAGAGTTGGGTATTTTTGCACATTTTGAGTTGTGTGCATGGTACTGTGATAGGAATTTTGTTTTTTGGGGAAACTGATGAATTTCGGGTAGGTTTTGACATAAAGTTAGGAGTTTGGAAACTTTTTCACATGCGAGGGGGCCGCAGGCCCCCGAGCCTTTTCAGATAAAAGTTTAGAGCTTGAGTACTGGAATTAGGCAAGATACTGCATGCGAGGGGCCGCAGGCCCCGAGCCTTTCGTAAAATCTAAAAAAATTAAAGGTTTTGCTATTAGTTTTTTAAAAATTTTAAAAAGCAAGAGTAAAAGATCAAGTAAAAGTACCAGAAATAGGGGGGCCCGAAGGGACCCCCTAATTTCTGGTCCCCTTTATGAATGCAAAAGAACGTTTTTCTGTCTGTCATTCCGAAGCCAAACAATTCTCATTTTGAAAAATTCGAGGCAAAAAATCGGTCTCGATTGTGGGAATTTTTGAAAAAATTCAAAATCATTTTCAAAGTTTTGGTTTGCGGAGCAGTCATTCGCAAAAATGTGAGTGCGCGGTGCGGTCGGGTACAAGTGCAGGTGAGTAGTGCGGAGTGGGGTGCCTTTGTGTATTTTGGATTGAGTAAGTGGTACCGCGATAGGATTTTCTGGAATTTTGTTTTTTAGGGAAAGTGATGAATTTGGGTTAGGGTTTTGATGAAAAGTTTGGACTTTAAGAAGCAGTCAGTTAAATGCAAGTGCGGGGTGCGGTCGGTTTCGAGTGCAGGTGAGTGGTGCACAGTGTGGTGCCTTTGTATATTTTGGGTTGACTACGTGGTACTGTGATAGGAATTTTTGAAATTTTGTTTTTTAGGGAAAGTGATGAATTTGGGTTAGGGTTTTAATCAAAATTTAAAAATTTTAGGAACTTTTCCACATGCGAGGGGGCCGCAGGCCCCCGAGCTTTTCGGGTAAAAGTTTATGGATTTATTGCAAGCTTGGCTACTTGAATTAGGCATGGCACCGCATGCGAGGGGCCGCAGGCCCCGAGCCTTTTGCAAAATTTCAAAAAATCAAGATTTTGAGAAAAGTCAAAAAGGAAGAGTTATAAGATCAAGTAAAAGTACCAGAAATAGGGGGGCCCGAAGGGACCCCCTAATTTCTGGTCCCCTTTATTAATGTAAAAGAATGAATCTTTTTCTGTCTGTCATTCCGAAGCCAAACAATTCTCATTTTCAAAAATTCGAGGCAAAAAATCGGTCTCGATCGTGGGAATTTTTTCAAAAATTCAAAATCATTTTCAAAGTTTTGGTTTGCGGAGCAGTCAGTCAGTAAAATGCAAGTGCGGGGTGCGATCGGGTTTGGAGTGCAAGTGAGTGGTGCAGAGTTGGGGAACTTTGCATATTTTGGATTGGGTAAGTGATACTGTGATAGGAATTTTAGGAATTTTGTTTTTTTAGGGAAAGTGATGAATCTGAGTTACGGGCATTGATGAAAAGTTAGGGATTTTAGGAACTTTTTCATATGCGAGGGGGCCGCAGGCCCCCGAGCCTTTCAGGTAAGACTTTATGGATGCATTGTGAGCATGAGTACTAGAAGTAACATGGCACAGTGCGGTCGGGTTTGGAGTGAAAGTGAGTGGTGCAGGGTGGGGCTACTTTTGCATGTTTTGGGTTTGGTGTGTGGTACCGTGATAGGAATTGTAGAAATTTTGTGGTTTTAGGAAAATACGAATGTTGGGATAGGGTTTTGATTAAAAGTTAGGAATTTTAACAATTTCGATTCTTAGTGGAAGTGATGAACCTGGGATAGGGCTTTGACATAAAGTTAGGAGTGTGAAGCATTTTCACATGCGAGGGGGCCGCAGGCCCCCGAGCCTTTCAGTCGATATGAGACATGGCGCCGCATGCGAGGGGCCGCAGGCCCCGAGCCTTTCGTAAAATTTCAAAGAAAATCAAAAGCTTTAGAGAAAATTCAAAAGCAAAAGTACAAGTAAAAGCACCAGAAATAGGGGGGCCCGAAGGGACCCCCTAATTTCTGGTTTATTCAGTATAAAGGAGACCTTTTATAGGGAAGCCCCACGTAGGAAAGTACAATCAAATTTGAATAAGTGCAGATCGTTCCTCGTGGGGAAATCCTCGAAGCTCGGTCGTGTTCCGCCTTATATTACAAAGCCATGTGCACGGACATTTGTTCTGTTTTGCAAGTGCAAACTTCAAAAAAAAAGCTGTTTCCACTGTGCAAGTTCCTCGCAGCGATGTAGCTGAAACTTGCTTATGTCGCGGCAACATTTTAACGTACTTTGCATAAACCAAAAAAGGCTGAAGGTACGTTATAAAAAGAGGTTTTGTTGCACGATGTGATGCGCTGCAAATGTCCATGCACTTTGTGAAGATACTAATAGAAGTCTGTCGGGTACATAATGTTTAATTTGTTGCTGAAAAATGTCTGCCTCGCCGCATTCACGCACCAAATCGCAAGCCTCGGCTAGCCGTCGCAAAAGCGACGATGAATTAATACCAGTCAAAAAATCCACATTATTTTCCCGACAGCCTAATATCAGTCTGTCGGGAAAATAACGGCGGATCGTCGCGCCTCGGAATCGCCCATCATCGCTTTGCGACGCAAGCCGTGGCTTGGGAGTGCGCGATAGCGGCGAGGCGAGACACTTTGGTGCGACGACTCGCCGTTATTTTT